AATATGGATGCTTCATACTAGGGGGTATCAGATATAGGAAATCCACTATTATAAACTGGTCATTTTTCCCCAAAACCATTTCTGCATCAATGGGCCCCAAAAGAGTTTAATGAAGAACCAACATGTTTAAAAAAGGATGGATTTTTTCAAACCAGTCATTTAAATAATGGTGGATTTGGTTACATTTGATACCCCCTACTAAATCAAAAACTTCACTGTACTTGAATCAAAATCTTTCCTATCAGAAATGCTTCATCAAATTGTGGCTGTGGCTAACTAACCATTTTCCAGCATGGCAGAAATAATCTCCCTGTCAAAATCAAACAAAACCTTATCATCACCCTTGAACTGCGGTTACTGCTTGTATTGGAAAAAAAGCTCTAGCAAAGTTGAAATGATGATGTAAAAACCCTTGGAATTCCCCATGAGGCCTTTGACATGAATTGACTCAAAATTTTTGTGGGCCTTTTACTCTGAAGTTTCTTGTGCAAAGTTGAATTTATATTTATGATTCTCAATTGCTTGTACTTACTTAATTGTTATCTTTGAATTATGTCCGCATTGAAACTATCATTTTTCATTATCAAAGCTGCTCCACCAAACCACACCTGCAACTGAGTGAGCTTTGTGGAACACGATTTTGAGGATTGGTATATGTTTCTTCAGAAACAGGTTTCAACTTAAAGTTTGAAAGACTTTGACCAATCAAAAAAAAATAAACAGGGGATTGGAGATGTTTTAGATTTGTATGATTTTATCTTCAAGGATTTGGGAATAAAATTTGTTACATGTGGGGTTGCAAATGAAACCAGCTGAAGATGTGAGACAGAGTTTCTTTTCTGAATGTTTTTCAGACTAAATGAGATGCAGCTTATCTAAGGTTCAATTCTTGAGACAAGAATCAAAATTGTTTTATGAAGAAGCAAGCAACAGCCTTCCCATGCTTTTGATCAAGTTTTGCAACAAAAATTATAAATTCTCATTACCTTTCTGGAGTTCTCAAACCATTCACATCCTCCCTGAATAGAAATCTGTTATTCTCAATTCAACAAACAGATAATCAGTTCAAGCCAACCCAAGCCATGTTGTTTACAAGTATCTTATTGTCCTTCTATCTGCTCACTTGCTATGGAACTTCAGCACATCCAAATTTATATCCAAAAAGAATAGAGAGTAGTGGTCTTGATCAAGAATTTGCTTTGGGTGCTCAACATCACCTTCTCCACAAGAGAATGGAAGGAAAGTCCAAATTAGGTATGTCTACTGTTACATTTTGAAGGATTTCTGTCTCAATTCATTCTTTTTTTGATTTCTACCAAAGAAAGCAAAATCCTTTGTTGCTGAAAACTAACCATGAATAAATGGAAATCCCCTTCTTGGTTCCTCAAACAAAATTTGGGAAATTACAAAGAGAGATATCAGGAGTTGTGTGAGCTGTTTTCTTCAACAGTTTTAATTCATCAAAATGATTGATAGAAAAATCATATCAAAAATTCTGACTGATTTCTTTGTTGAAAAACAAAAAAAAAGTGGAAAGAGTTAACATGCTTGAGAAGAAAGATGAGTCAAAAAATAAAGAATTGGATGCTGCTGATTATGAAGAACTTGAGAAAAAAATGAAAGAATGGAATAGAGAGTTTGATACAGAGAGGGATGAAATCCGGCGTTTGATGAAAGAAATCGGTGAAAGTTCATCATCTAAAAAATAATTTTTATCCGGGATTTGGAGAGATAGATTAGAATAGCATTTGAAAACAATTGGCTGTATGCCAATCCAAAATCCAAAATCTTCTTTGTTTAATCTTAAAATTCAAGAGGGTAAATTATATATATGAGAAACCAGTTGATTGAATTGATTCTGTTTGGAAAGAGTATTTCTAATTTAAATACTGTGATTCCTGCTTTGACTTGTTCTCATAATTGGGAGGTATCAAATCTAAGAAATCCAGCATTACAAACCAGCAACTTTTCCGAAAACATATTTTTTTGCATAAATGGGTCCCCAAAGGTGTTGGGTAAAGAACCAACATGTTTAAAAAAAATGGTGGTGGATTTGGTCATATTTGATATCCAATATTGTTATGAATCTCATGTAAGATTTTTGATCCAACATCCAGGGATGAGTACTTTAATGAGTGATCTAGTTAGTGCTGATCTACTGTACTTTTCAACCCTAAGAAAACCTTCCCTGATTGATTTCCTGAATATTCATCTATTTCTCATCAACACATGACCCACTCAAATTCTCCCCTCCAACTACCCTTCTCTTACAAATACAAATCATTCCCATGTTTTCAGGCCTGATCATCAATCTTTCTCATATCGTTCACCAAAAGCCTTGTGCATGAGGAATGATAACCACATTCCCCCATGTTTTTTTTGTGGCCAAAGTGGCTGTTCAGTACCTCCCTCCATAGCATTGTGCTCCCCCTTCCCACCCACATATAAGCACTCTCAGACTCTAAATATTAATGGGGCTAATTTTAAGGGGGGACAGTGTTTGGCTGTTTTTGAACTGCTCAAGATGACCATATTCCAATTTTTTTTAAATAAACACATCTTCATGTAAGAGTTCAATCCGAGAGTCGATGAGATGGAAAAGCTCCTATTTCTCGAAGCCCTGACCCAGTTATTCAGCAGCTCATGAAACTATTCTCCGTCAAGTGAAGCTGATTCCTGTGCCCAGCCAGCTGCCAGCTGTCAGATGAAGAAGTGGCGAGAGACAGCGAGAGAGAAGAGAAGACATCTGGTGCGGTTAGCCCTCCCCACAGACAGTTGGGAGGTGCAGTAGCAGAGTGTGTTGTGATCCGAGTTAGCCATCATATAAGGACATCACATCAAGGCCTGCAAATTTGTCGGTGGCCTGGTTCCCCGGCCAGCACCCACCCAGCGCACTACTCAATCTGCGCCTTTCTCCTCCATCGCCCTACAATA